TCACATTTTTGTCCTCCTTTTCTAAGGGTGAATATCTATTCAGGTGCAATACTGAAGTTATTCACTTGTAATTAACTAATCTAGTAGTCTCTAACGTTGCTGGAAGTTAAAAGGAAGATGGGCAAAAGTGGACTCATTTAAGGCTGACTGCCGAATGGCTAGCTTTAAATTCACCTCAGATTTTTCATGACTTGATAGTGTGACATAATTTAAATGATAAATCAGTAGTTTTATGAGGTACTGAAGTGTCCTTATTTCCTCAGAGGGCAAACATGAACCACATGCTCTCCTCACAGGACTGTAGCCTGAATAGAATATGTTGGAAAATGACTGTTAATACTTAGTGGCTTCTAGTGTAAATAGGACAGATTGTGGTAGTTGCAGCATGGAGCTGTAAACAAGCTGCTTTCTGCAAATGTTCGCTCTGCTGCTTCCTAACAGCTTGACACTGATGATCATTATACAAAAAGTATGTACAAATATTGGCTGCAATTATCATGATCCTTTCTCTTTTTCATCGTTATTAGCTTTAAAACATGCTTAAATTTGAAACCTGAGCAATACGGTTTCCTTTGCTTGCTCTTTTTCAGTCTCCTTTTGACATCTTGAGAACACCACTAGAGTGATTCAAAGTATTCATTCCAAGTCAATCTATAAAAAGTTGTTTAATAAGTATGTTTATGCTGCAGTGTTTTGGAGTGGTACTTTGAAGTAACAGTGTAAGGATTGTGAAAGAAAAACTGTCAGTATTCTCATCAGTATGGAAAACACTTTCAAGAAATACACAGTGCTCTCTTTTCAGGTCAAAAACATGATTTTAAAATGGACTTACAGGATCAATTGCTTTCGCACATTAGAATATTTAAAGGCTTTAGATTTTGTGTAACTCCTGTTGTTTTGTGAGAGGCATAGAGATTATAGGAACCACAACTTCAGCACAGCCCACTCCTTCCTGATTCACATAGGTCACATTTGAAATGCTCTTACTTCTTATGACAGAATTAATTGCTGTTGCAGAGCCCTCCCTCTTGCTTGGGGTTTCCTGTGCTCATGGAGGTTCAGGCAGTTCAGCTTGCTAATGAGGGATATATGCAGAGTTTCTTCTGTATTAGGATCTGTGCTGGGTGTCATTTATGACAAATGAAAAGGCTTCATCAAGCTGGGAATCCTGGTGTTTGAGAAGTTCATTTACTCTTTAGTTAGTGTTTTTTTAGTATGTTTATAGTGTGAGTTACAGCAGAGCTAAGGCATCCAAAGCCTTTAAAGCTGTATTTGGCTTAGCGTTGTACTTTTTATCTTTAATATTCATCATCTCCCTTTTGGCTTATCTTGTAAAATAAAATCAGGTTGCGTGACTTGGAAGGTATTAATAAATCTCTGAAGTATTACAAAGATACTTACAATTCTTTGGACACTTGGATTCAACAAGTAGAAGATACTCAGCGGAAGATTCAAGAAATCCATCCTGAAAACAGCAAAGCATTGGCTAAACAGCTGAACCAACACAAGGTATGAAAGCGATCTCTTTGTAGGAAAGCACTGCTGTAATTACTGAAGAATTAAAATGTCAGTTTAATCAAATGGATGTCAGTCTTATTTCTTCATATGAGGTGCTTCTGTCCCTTGTCCCTTACTGTAAAATTCCAAGTCATCACCAACTTTTACAGTTTTATGTTTATATATAATGCAGGTAACACCATGAATATATCACTTACTAACTTATTGCCATTTTACAGACCAGATTGATTTGGTCCTCAGATCTGCAAGAGCAGCAAAACCTTAGAGTGCCAAAAATTCTGGACTTGCCTTATTACATCAATTTTTTATTCAATACTGCTCTTGATATTTATGGATGTAGAAATATTTTCATGAAAGCAGAGATAAACTCAACAACTATCTCCTGCAAGAAGGAAATACGGGTTAAATAAGAGACAGAATAACAAATTATATGCATGAAATAGTATATTCCTGATTTTGTTTTAAATTCACTCACCAGCTATTAAACTTGGCAGGGTTTTTTCACTACTTCTGTACTGTAAGCCTGACAAAGCCCAAGACATAGGCTTGAGCATATAATTACTTGTACACACATGGAAATGAGCATAGTATGTAAATTCATGATGTTAGATAAAGTAGAAATGCTCATAATAATAGTAATACAAATAACTTTTTAAGATGAAGATGTAGATTAATATTTTACAGATGCTGGTTTCTGAGATTGAAATGAAACAAAGCAAAATAGATGAATGCCAGAAGTATTCAGAACAATACTCAGCTGCTGTGAAGGTAATAAATAACGTTATACTTAGAATCCTTTTTTTTTTCAGTGTCAGTATCATGTGGAATGCCAATCATTTTGTGTATTTTCTCTTTTAGGACTATGAGTTGCAGACTATGACCTACAGAGCTATGGTTGACTCCCAACAAAAATCTCCAGTGAAACGCCGAAGAATGCAGAGCTCATCAGACTTCATTATTCAAGAGGTAAATGGATATCTTATGACAGGAAAACGTGGGGTGCTTTTAGTCTTTGCTTAAAACAGTGAACACAAGAATGGGATGTAGGATTTATTAATGATTAAATGGAGTAACCCAAGCAAGATTATATAGGTGTGTGTGTATATATATATATCGTGTGATAAATAATTCTGTTGGTCATTATGCCGTATTTAGATAACGAGACAGTATATTGCTGTTGATAAACAAAAGTCTCACAAATTATAAAAAGCTATATGAGAAACGTACCTCAGTAAAACCGTTTAGAACTACCTCTGGGCTGGATCATGATCACAGTAAACAGGGGGAGCTTTCATTTTTGCTATGGTAAAACTTACAGATCTGGACACTTTGACAGATTCCAAGGCAAATCAGCCTCATTTGGGTGGGAAAGATCAATCTGTCTCCCTGCTAACTGTTAGAGAGAGGAATAGTGACCAGCTCTGCTTGTCCCTCTTATAACCTGTTCTTACAGGGGGGAATAATGAAGTGACTGTGAAGTCAAAACATTGTCTTCTGTTCCTCTTCCTCATAGATCCTTAGGATTTATTTGTGCAAGTGCAGCCTGTTGATTGCATTCAGCTTTGGAATCAAAATTAGAACTTTGGATTCCACAATCATGATTTTGGAATCAAAATTGGCATAGGTTCTAGAGTCGTTTTTATCACTTCTGTGAAGGTTAATGGAGTGTTTCCCTCTATCTCCCCCCTGCCCCTTGTTTCTCTGCAGTTCATGGATTTACGGACTCGTTATACTGCCTTAGTGACCTTGATGACCCAGTACATTAAGTTTGCAGGTGACTCTTTGAAAAGACTGGAAGAGGAAGAGGTAGGTCATCACCTGGCACTTAACCAAGCAAAAAGAACAGCTAGGCAAACAGAGAGCAATATACCTGTTGGAATTATTCACAAAGTTAGCAGCAGATATGAAAGACTGAAATTCCTTGTGCACTGCACTCTATACAGGAATATAGGAGTGTTAAATTACACCATTATCATTCAGATAAGCAAAATCCGATACCATCCATACATTTTACCACTCCTTTCATCTAGAAGGATCACATGAATCACTAAATTCTGATGGAGATGTAGTTACATACAGTACTTTTTAATACTTTAATATTTTAGGGCTTGATCTTTTGGATAAATACAGACATTAAGATGAGGGCAAACATAGCATGAATGCACCACTGATATCCTATGTAGGCCGTAATATTCCGTAGGATGCATTCTGGTCCACTTAACAACATATAAGGGAGTTCTTTAAACAGGGAGATGCGATGCCCTCTTAATTAATTTCTGAAGTTTCTTTGCCATGTTTAGATTTTTTTTTCCTTCTGCATTTCTACGGCATCGATTCCTTGTGGTCAAACAGCATTTTATTTATGCTTATTGTTGAATCTTGTTAGCAAGAATAGGTTACTGAAATTGAGCGGACAAATTACTCAAAATACATGCTTGCTGCAGAATCAGCCTTCCAAATAATTGAGAAAAAAATACATATAAATTCTTTACTTTCTTTTGAAATGTTTCTCTCTGAAAGACATTATATAATCATTCTTCAAGGACTACAGTATTTTAGTATAATCTATACAGTGCATACCTCTAAAATAATGCCCATATTAAATGTAGTCCTATAGAAATTACATATAATTGGAGAATACTCTCATAAGGGTATAAATTGTAATGTTGTTATTGCAGAAAAAACCCAGAGGTTTTTGTAATTCTGGTGCTGGCTTTGTCTTTATTGGCTTTCCTTGCTATTGAATACCTCTGGGCAAGCTGTAACACTAACAGCATGTATCTTGGTGCAGCATGAAGTGGTGGAGCATATTAATGGAAATATATAATGTTTGTTGATAAGTAGCCGTTACAACTGAGGTTTTAGTATGACTAATAATGGTAATGGTATCAAGGATAAAAAATGAAACAACAGGAATTGAAACAAGGATCAAGAAACCTGTGAATGCTGACAGGCTTCACGTTCCTCAAGAGCAAATGGAATCTTTTAAACTCTTTTGAGTTTCAGTCTGCTCTGAATCTCCAGGAGGGCTTTTCTGGAAATCAAACACCCCCCCCCATCTTCCATCCTCCTCCACCTTCTGGCAGTCTTCTAAACCTAAGTCGGTTTCCAGTCTCAAAGTGATTTGATGGTGTTTTCCTTCATAATCAGGGTAGGAAATCAGAAAATGAATAATCCTTTTCAAAGGAGGAATAATAATATTTTTCTTCTGGGGTCAGACCTCTGAAGTCTGTGATTGTTCCAAGATTTTCTTCCATGCCAGTCTTTCTTCCTAACTCTCAGTAATGGCATTAAGAATGGACAGAATAAGGAAAAAGTAAGATGCTTTCCATGATATCTCAATTTAATCCATATACTGTCGTGCTCAGAGCTTTCCAGAGGAGCGTGAACTCCAACAACCTGTGAAGTCAGCTGAAGTTTTTCAACGTTTGAGATGTAATGAAGCAGTTGAATTGAGAGAAGAAAACACACCTAATGAAAGCATGATGTATGTGGAATATTTGCAAAATGATAACTCTTCCAGTAAACCTAAACACACAGAAAATAAATTGGAAAATGATAGAAGAAATTTAGATGTAGACAGATATGGTAAAATCAAAACTGATAGAACATTAAAGCAATTTTTAAATTTCAGTGGTCAAGAAAGTAGCATTAGTGACAACAGAGAAAATAAGCTACATACAGAGCGAGAGAATTTAATGGAGTTTGGTAATCAAAGTAAAGAAGAAGAAGATGGTAGAAAAGATTGTTTTGTTTCAGCTGAGATCTGTGTGAGTGTGAATGATGATCCTGGTGAAATGTTAAATGAGAAAATTGTTAATGGCGAGAGACAGAAAACAGAGGGAGTATCAGAGAAGTTGCCCGAAGTGGAAATGATACACAAAACCACAAGAAAAAAATTTTCAAGAAAGGCAGCGAGTGATGTTTCAACACAGGAAGAACATGAGATGCAATCAGAAACTAATACTCAGCTAACAACAAAGAAAGATGATGTTACTCCAAAAACTGGAAAGCATGCCCTGGATATCATCCCATACAAGCAGCAACATTTTTCACCAAGAACCCATTTTGAATGTCGTCATAAAGAACATTGCTTTATGGAAAATAATAGCCATAATACTTTAAACACTGAAGACAGAGAGTTTCAATCGTGTGGTGAAAAAGGTGACTCTCTTTCAGCTGTAAGAGATGCAGTACCTTTAGAGAAAGTTGCATCTGCTTCCAGAGAGCTGGCGGTGCACAGTGGAAGTGAAAAAACAAAATTAAACTTGCAATCTGTGAGCAATCCAGGCGTTTCCGGTAGTGTTGAAAGGGATACAAATGAACTGCACAGAGCATCTCTGGATAAAAGTTACCTCATAGCAGAAAACAAAATCCTAGAAAAAACAAATTTAAATCCAAATGAGGCCAAGAGTACAATGCAAGAAATGTTGACTGCTTCTTCAGGAAATATTTCAGAGAATCAGTATGCAGCACAAGTCTCTGAATCTTATCCATTAGATTTGGAAGTGTCACCAGTGCAGAATGATCCAAGTTCAGGTACAGAATTGTTAGGAATTGCTGGTGATTTAAGTGCAAATATAGACTTCTCAGAAATTATTTCTGGAGGAGAGGATTATTTTCCATTGTCAGAACATGGATTAGCAAAAAAGCTTTTGAGTCATGATGAGAAAGTAAGTGAGAAGAAGATATCCCAGGGTAAATTTTATGGTTTGGACAACATAAATATAAGCGTGAAGCAGCAAAGTGGAGAGGGTAAGTTAGAACAGGGTCAGACATGTAACGATTTATTGCTAGTTGCAGAAACGGACAGTAGAAATAAGGGCCACAGGACAAAGGTACTTGGAAAAAACACTGAACTCCAGCAAACATTCTGTGAAAAAGCAGGGAAAAAAGCCTCACTTGAAAAAAAAGAAAAGCAAAAAAAAAGATGCAATGATAATGAAGAGAAAAGGAGCACAACTGTTATTAAGGTACCAGAGGTTTTATGCAATGCAAATGAAACAGTTAATTTAAGAATGATTCTAAACCAATCCAAATCAACATTTGAATCTCAAAATACATCAAGGTCAAGTGATTTAAAGTTGATTGAAGATAATTTAAATGATGAATATGCTAATGATGTATTAATTACGGTGCATTTTGACATGCTTATATTTTTTTAAGTTCTTATAAATTTATTTTTATGTTTATTTTTTATTACTATTTAATTACCATCCTTTTCTCCTCCCAGCTGATGCTCAGCCATGTTGATTAGAAATAGTGGAAGCTAACAACATATAGTTTGTGACTGTGTCTGTATTTTTAGTTCTTTTTCAAGGATAACACATTAGATTTTGTGTCTGTGGGACCATAGACATAAACAATGTTTTGTATCCATTGGGGTCTGTTCAAAATTGTGACACAGGGAAATAGAGAGGAACTGAAGAAACTGCCTTTGCATTAGCCTTTTAGGAAATAAGTTTCATATATCATATGAAAAATCAAGTAAATCTGGTACATTTGAACTAACCCAACATTTTGTTTATTTGAAAATGTTGCTATAATTACCCTTCATGCCATGTTTGTATGATCATAGGAATATAGGTGTGTTCTTACCTCATGTTAGCTCACATTTGGTAACTAACACCATAATAGTGGTAGTGAAGACAAGGTATGTATGGTTTCAACCATATTATTACTGGTGAATACACATCTTGCTTTAAGAGTTTCCCTTGATCTGCCAACGTACGGAGACTACTAGCCAACTCGTTTTCGCTAGGATTTTCTTAATTACCGTGTTTATATTTCTAACTGTGTCTACATTGCAGAGCAGCCGTGCTCTTACCAGTCCTCCAGCTGAGTCAGTGGTGGCACTGGGACTGCGGAGCATGCTGCGGAGCACAGATGTACTGGGGTTTTGATACTTCTCTTTCTGGAGTTGGTGCATCTTGGCTCTAGCTCTAGATACCGTTTCTTTTCTTGGAGGGGATTTCCAAACTTCTCTTGTGTTATTTTTGCTTGCAAGCTTAAAATGCTTCTTCCAATTCCTACTGAACTCACCAGAAATGGTAGGCCTGTTTCTCCTTGGGAATTCTTGCACGTAATGTTTGGCTCACTGTTTGCTCTACCTATTTGTTTGGAGAAAAAGCATATGCAAGCTGTTTGACGCTGCTTACCGCTAAGAGGCATCTGACTGAAGTGAGAGGCTTCAGGACTTCTTTGCTTTGTGGATATCTTTATGAAGGGTTTCATATTTGGCTAATGGTAACTTCCTGAAGCCTTCAAGAGAAGGTGATGGTGGTGGGAACTGCTCGTCCTACTTTCTGGACATACCGTGTAGATATGAGTAAGTATTTTCCATTCTGCTTTTCAAAGAGCCTAACATGTTTCATATGGTGTACTACAAAAAGTACATTCTGACTTATCTCATTCTTTCACAGGTTTTAAAGGCTAAGGAAGCGTCAGTACGTGAGGCATATTCAGATCTAATGGCACAGCAAAATAGTACAATTGATGAGAACAGAAAACTCATGGGAAAGGTAAAAACACTTGAGGAGATGTTAGAGGATATGAAGAAACAAAAAATCCAAGTGGAACAGGAGCTCCCTAAAGTGAGGGAAGCTGCAGAAAAAGAGCGAAAGAAGCAGCAAAAGGACATGGAAGACATCTGTCTTCAGAAGACGAAGGCTGAGCAAGAGGCGAAGCAGTGTCGTATAGATCTAGAGAGCATTGAGAAAGAGAAAGCAGATGCAGAGCAGGAGTTGGAGAGTGTAAGGCAGCTCATTTTTCAGGCAGAGACTCAAAGAAGTATACTGGAAGAAAACCTCCGTGCTTTTCGAAATCAAATAGAAGAAAGCACTTTTACTAGAAGAAACCTTGAAGAGCATCTAAGAAGAAAAGATACTAATCTCCATGATTTAGAGCAACAAAAAAAAACCTTAATGCAGGAGCTGAAGAAAAAAACAGAAGGAGAGGAGAAACTTATGAAACTGATAAAGCAAATGGAACAAGATCTTGAATTTAAAGGGAACCTGTCAGAAATAAAGCTGCAAGAAAGAGAGAAAACTGAAGCCAGAAGGAAGGTTGTTGAAGGCAGGTACTCTGTAACTAGAGAAACTTCTCTGCTGACTTCCACAGCTGGGCAGGGCAGCCAGTGTAGGACTGATTCTGAAATTACAAGTTTCCAGAAGAAACAAGAAACCAAAAAAGTAGAAGAGCTTAAACAGAAGATAGATGAGCTAACCCTTGCTAACAAAAAAGCTGATAGAACTATTAAAGACCTGAAATATGAACTGAATGAAATTGAGCTTCAGAAATCATCAACAGAAGAAAAGTCTCGTTTATTAAAAGAAAACCTAGATAAAGTCAACAGTGAACTTAAATGCCTAAAAATTAAGTTGGAGGAAAAAGACCAAGTAGAGCAGGGATATTTGCAACAGTTGAAAGAACTGGACAGGCAGCTACATAGAACCACAGGTAAAGCTGAAGAGGTAATGCAAGAAGCTGTAGATCTTAAGAAAATTAAGATGAACTATCAGGAGGAGCTGAAATCTGTTCATCAAGAAAAGACACAGCTAAAAAGAGAGGTAGAGGAATTAACTAGATTGCACACAAAAACTGAAATCACTATCAAACACTTAAATTCACAAATTGATTCTCTTCAGAAAGAGAAGCTGGCAGCTGAACACAGAACACAGTCATGCAAAGGAGAAGCAAATAATCTTCAAGACCAATATAATAAAATTCAAGAACAGTTGCTTCAAAAAACAAAAGTAGAGAAAGAAAACCAGCAGGAAATTCAGATGCTGAAGAATGAATTAGCCAAAAGTAATCAGGTGTCAGAAACATTGAAACAAAAGATAGAGGACCTTAATAAATGGAATACTGAAACAAAACTACTGATGAAGCAAACTGAGTCTGAATCAGAGAAGATAACTTTGGAAAACCAAAGTATTCAGAGGAAAAATGATGCATTAAAAGCTCTAGCAGATGGTTTCAAAGAGCAACTGCGTACAACAAATGAACAATTGCACAAGCAAACAATAATTGAGCAAGAATTCATATGTAAAATCAAAAGCCTAGAAGTTGAACTAGCAAAAACAAAAGACTTAGCTAGTGAATATAAACAAAAATGTGATAAACAAAGTGCTTCCACCCTAACCATTGATCGGGAGGTTAAAAATCTAAATGCCCAAATGAATGCTCTAACTATGGAAAAGAGAGTGAGTGAGCAGAAGATACAACTACAACAAGCTCACATACAAGAGCTGAGTAGTAAATTAAAAAAATTACAGGATGAACTCCATCAGAAGACTCTGGATGAACAAATGGCACGCAAGAAGATGATTCTGTTTCAGGAAGAATCCATAAAGTTTAAACACTCTGCAGAAGAATTTCGGAAAAAAGTTGAAAAATTACTGGAATCCCATAGCATCACAGAAAAGGACATTTCTGGCATAAAACTAGAATGTGTTGCTCTTCAGC